CCGTAAAATCTCGAATAGAAGCCCTGGGCTTTCTTTTTAGCGAACTTTGGATGGGCTTCTTTTTGAGATGGGCTTTTTTTTCAAGGCTACTTTTACAAAGTAAAGAGGGAGGGGGAGGATGGCTTTTCAAAATAAATGCTGTCAATTTTAGGTATTACTACTAGTACTATAATACAATAAATAGGGCCACTATAACATCAATCTGTATCATAGAATGTATTAACCAGCATTAAATCACTGTATAAACAAAGCGTGATTTTAATTTATTTTGTTTCTTTGAAATTCATGTATAGTGATTATCTTGAAAAAAGCCCATGCTATCTTGAAAAGAAGCCCATGGGCTTCTTTTCGAGGCTGCCTTTGCAAACTAAAGAGGGGGCTTGAATTCGAGATTGGCTTCTTCTCGAGATTAAGCCCATCGAGGGCTTTTATTCGAGGTTTTATAGTAGTGCATTTTCAAATTTTACATTGATAATGTGCTTTACAAAAGATAATAAATTACAATATTAAAATAGGCAACATTACCATATTCATTCTATTATCATCATGAATCCAGATTAAACCAGCGACATACAGAAGATAAAAGGAAGTTTTAATGTTTTGAAAGTTTATTTCCTATTCCGTTAATAGCCTACTTCAGTATGTAATCTTCCTACTGTAGGCTCAATTTGCTGGGATAAAATAATGGCATGGCTTGGTTAATTTTACTAGGATGCAAAATAAGCTGTGCATCTGATTCAGATCCTATAGTGCAAGGTCCTACCTTTACTGGTCTGATTCATGGAGTGGATGTGTGTCATGCATGTTTTTACATTACAATCTTCGTCATACATTCTAATTCAGTTCATTTCTTCTTAACCTGACCTTGGCTGGACCTCTGTGCCTTCCCTATCAAAAATTGTAAGACCACAATCTTGGATGATAGCTCTTCCTCTGGTAATGGTTGGAGACTTGTGTAGCACAGAATACATGGTCTCTATGCGCTGTACAGAAGACAAAAAACAAAATCACCTAAGCAAACCAAGCTAAAATAAAACGGAAACAGACTAATGCAGAAGGAACCAACACTATTGTACCATTCACCTGCAATTTGAGACCACCGGCAAGCAGTGGTTAGCAGGTACATGACTCGAAGGTGCTCGAATAGTGTTGGCATCTGGCTTAGCCTTTCCTAAAAACAAAAGTGAAAAAATAACAGAAAACAGAGACTTTATTTTTAAATACCATATAGTTTTGAGCCACCACTGTGTATGCCTACATGGATAAAACGTATGACTGTTGTGGTGGTCTTCATCTTAAAAAAAAAAAAATATGGGTTTTTTTTTTTAAGTTTTGTTTATCTTAGACGAGTACTGTACAGTAATTTTATGTTACTGTAAGTGTAATTTTGCCTTTTTCCCACTTCTGTTACATCTAGTCAAAGATATTTACATTTTTTTAATACAGTATTTTATACATTACAATATAGTTTGTAGTGGTAGATTGTAACATAATTGCTTATGTAGCAAAATATTATGCCATAAGCAAAATTGACCAAAAAAAAAAATCCCCCATTGATCTTTTAATATAGTGCTCAGATTGTGTAGATTCATTATGCAGATATGAAAATAATACCTCTTGAATCAATCATGGTATTGATTTGACCCTGTGTCAACTGTATGATCTTCAGAAGGTCAATGTTAGTGACATAATTTCCCTCAATAAATGTTTGACCTTGTGATCAAGATCCCTTTAATAATTCATAGCACAAGATCTGTCTCTTATACACATCTAGATGTGTATAAGAGACAGATATATATATATATATATATATACACA